ATTTATATGTACTGTAGTTACTTCATAAACAATGTGCTCTTTTAATAAGTAATTATTCTGTATATTTTACATGGAATTTGCCCTTGTGGTGGCTTTTAAGCCCCAATATGTAGAATCCTATTTCAGGCTGAAAGAGACTCTAATTCCCATCATATCTTAACCCCTAAGTGAGCTCTAAGAAAATCTAAACTAGCATTCCTGACTGACCAGGACATTTGTTAATACACAGAAATGTTCTACATGGTACAAAGACCACATGGATCTTGAGACCACAAAGACCATATGGACCGCAATGGGATCACACAGACCATGAGACCAGTGTTCACAAAGGCTATTTTCCATAAATAGCACCATCTAGGCCAGGTGACCCGCAGGGTTCCTGAGACCACCACTGTTATTCTTAACCAAGAACATTTCTACCACACTGAATGCTCTGCTCAGGTAAATCATGAGACTGTGCATAACTATCTCTTAATCTTACAGACCACTCAAGTCACTAAGAGCAACTGGACAGACAATACCCGCTGGACTGGGCATTAACTGCCTATGAAAACCATCTGACCCACAGTGATCTCCTGCATCACAAGAGCCATGAATACTACCTATAGGCTACTAGGAGGATCATCTGAGCCACAATATTCACAAAGACCACCTGCACCATAAAAGTCACCTGGACCATGAAGACCATCTAGGCCACACGACCACTTGGGCCACACAGACCATAAAGACCACACCTGGGCCAAAGGGCTACAGGGTGACTGAGGTTGGCACGAGACAGTGGTTGGAGAAGCCCCAAAATGTCATCATCTGTAGGGGCTGGGCAGGACAATTACAACCTTGGCATTTATTAGTTGTAGTCATTTATTGAAAACCCTTAGTTACATAAATTTTAATATTTCACAGATGAACAATTATCAACATGAACCATACTGTTCCATGCCACCCTCAAAAATTATTTACGATTCCCTAATACCTAAATGGAATCCATATTGATTATGTTGTTGAATGCTGCAGGATCCATCATCACTGCAGCAGTAAAAAGAAATAAAAGTAAAATACATTTTAAACATTACAGTAAATATATGTACTGTATATATCCATAGCAATATAAAATTGTTAAGTCCACAACAAACGTTCCAAATAAAGTTTAGCAATCTACAAGTAAAAACAAAGGTGGAATTCACCATGCAAGATGGACACTGATACTGGCTCTACTCTACAAAAATATCATCCATTTTACACTGAGTTACATTCTAGATGGACTATATGATATATGCATTAAATGTGTGAAATATACAGTGAATATTCACATATAAAAAATAACAGCCCAACTAGGAGTTTGAATTTGGAGATATAGCAAGGTAGAGGGCACTGGTCAAGATTCATCAGCATAGGCCAACAAGCAACACTGGTTACCTACTCTTGGCTCAAGGAAAAATATGAACAGCTACACCTGGTGATTCCTTGTGATTTAACATCCAAGAATCCAGTAAAATCAATCAACATTATGTATGTGTGCATGTTATATTATATTATACAGTACATTTTATATATTATATATATATATATATATATATATATATATATATATATATATATATATATATATATATATATATATATATATATATATATGCAATTGACGATCAGTAAACACTGATCATTTGTATGCAAAAAATCCACAGAGAAATGGGGGAGAGAGATGAACGTTTCGGCCGATCTGGGTCTTTGTCAACACCGGACTGCTACAGGTGCTTTGTCAACACCTGTCCAGTCCGATGTTGACAAAGGCCCAGATCGACCGAAACGTTCATCTCTCTATCCCATTTCTCTGTGGATTTTCCATATTATATATGGAAGTATATATATATATATATATATATATATATATATATATATATATATATATACTGTTATATATATAAATGAGGCGTGTGTGCCATGTGCGTACTATTTGTTTGTTGTGCCGTGTGTGTGTGTGCCGTGTGTGTGTGTGTGCCGTGTGTGTGTGTGTGTGTGTGTGTGTGTGTGTGTGTGTGTGTGTGTGTGTGTGTGTGTGTGTGTGTGTGTACGCACACGCAGTGTATGTGTGTGTGTGTGCGCGCACACGCAGTGTATGTGTGTGTGTGCCGAGTGCGTGCAGTCTGTGTGTGTTTTATAAATGATCAAAATAGTTAGATCAATGATTCTAGAATGAATATTCTTTGTTCTTTAGGTTCTTTACTTTTGAAGGAAATTTTAAAATTAACCATCCAAAGCACATTTTGCACTTTTCAAGAGCCTGATGCACTTTGTGATGCACTTTGCTAAGATACAACTTAGCATACTCAGAAGCAGAGGGAAAGTGAACACAAAAATGCAGCAACACATACTACAAGTTTGTGACAACTCTTGTATAAATAAAAAAAAAAAAAGTGCGTATGATGAGAGGAAAGAATGGCTGCTCTGTTGAAAGTACAGTAAAAGCTTATTAATCTGAATTCTGACTATCTGAAACTTTAGGTACTCCAACAAATTTGAGTTAATTTTTTTAACAGTTCATACTAAATAAAAAATTGCATTACCGAGTTTTATGCTGAAAAAGGAACATGAATAAATTAAAAAAAAATAACTTCAAGACTTTCCAGATAAAAATTTTGTATAACTAGAATGTCCAACTAAATTGATTGGGGGTAGGTCCCATGTAATTCAGATTATTGAGCAGAGACAGTACTAGGTAACCTGACCCAAAATTTTGAATAGTCGACTGAGGTAGTAGGAGGGGTTTAAACTGGCAGTTCTCTATTGTACCTTTTAACAGTAGGACATACTTAGGTGAAAGCCAACTAGATAACTAGTTGAATGTTTGATATGACATGTACTTTCCATGTCCAATCTTCTACCATTGCCCTATAAATTATTTTGGTATTGCTGGTCAGAATTTCTCTGGTGATGGTTTGGCAGTGAGTAGAAATTACGTCATTCTTAAAGGGGCCTTGTTGTTTGTACACTGTAGTATGGTGCCTTATCAAAAGGAAGATCAAATGCCATACTTCACAATAAAACCTGTCCTATCTATAAAACACTTATTTCAGGAACTAGTATTTTGACCAGCAACACCAAAATAAATACAGCAACAATGGCGGCAATTAAACTTGGCAAATACATTTCATACTAAACACACAACTAATTATCAACAATCAGCTTCCACCTAAGTATGTCCTCCTACCAACAAGTACAAGAGAGAACATCAGTTTAAACCTCTCCTACCATCTCTGCTGACAACTGAGAATGTTGGACCAGGTTACCTGCTACTTTCAACAGTAACCACTATTCCTCTTTAAACCCACATTTGTGTTTTAATTTTTGTTTTCACTTTTGCCAGTTTTTACCTTAGTAAAATGAGTGTCCCCCATTTAATGTAGACTTAATCAATTTGTCAACTTCCTTCCCAAATGAAGAACCAACTATAATAGAGAAGATTTGTGCTAGAACCTTGATCTCATCCCTTCATATTCAATAACACATGTCATCAAGAATAACTTAAATATGCAATACTGTATTAATAATTTTAATTACAAGTAAAAATAAAAATAAAATGGTGCTGCAATCTGGTTGTTGGTCTGGAGTGGCCTCTCCAGGGTGCAAAACCAGGGTATGTTGATATGGAGGAGAAGCTGTTACCCAGGCAGCAGGCCTCCCCCCCCCCTTTTCATGGTGCTGAAAGTCTCCACTGGAAAGGCAAATGCTAATATGATTGATTCCAGCACCATCGAAGGAATTGTGAGCTCCGGAATTTACCTCGAAGTTGGTGAAAGAAGGAACAGGGACCCCAAACCTGGAGACCGCCATGGTTGGGGCCGGAGAAGAACCACCCCACCAAGGACAAGAACGACCCCAGCCCCCTGAAGCAGAGCCTGGCCGCATGAGCCCCAGGAGGTGGGTGTCTCAGTCCCGCACCTACAGGTTCCAGACAGATCGTCACAGCCCCCTTTCACCCGAGGCCGGCTTCTTTCAAGACCAAGTAGAAGGAAGAGTGATAATTATTAAATATACCAATTATTGTATTATTATAATAATTATTATAATAATAATATAAATAATTAATAATTATCACTTTTAAATAATTAATTAATAGTAATACACACACACACACACTGCAGATGAAGAGTCACAATAACGTGGCTGAAAAATGTTGACCAAACCACACACTAGAAAGTGAAGAGACGATGATGTTTTGGTCCGTCCTGGACCATTATCAAGTCGAGTGTGATAATGGTCCAGGACGGACTGAAACATCATTGTCTCTTCACTTTCTAGTGTGGGGTTTGGTCAACATATATATATACTGTATACATAAATTTTTTATTACATACAATTAAAACTATTAGTATTGCATATTAATAGTCATTCTTGTTGACATGTGTTATTGAATATGAAGGGATGAGATCAATGATGCTAGCACAATATATCACAAAATGCCAACACTTATCTGTCATCTAAAGATGTTATTCCTATGATGATAATATGTTAATGTGATTCATGCATACATTTACAGATGTGCTTGAATGTACCAATATTAATATATCTTAAATGCATGATAATGCATTCATTCTGAAAGAAGTCCTTTAGAGCAAGACGAGCAGACTCATACCTGCAGTGTGGTTATAAAATTTGTCATCATATAAACTTTTTCTTTTTCTTTGACACTCCTCTGAGCCTATTGTAATATCCAAATTATCTCTATTTTGAGCTATTGTAATCAGATAGTTATTGCTAGATAACTTTTACCACAAAAACAAAAAATAATAAAACTACTGCAATTCGAAGTAATCAATATACACAACTTTTTTCCAAAAGGTTACAAATAGTAGAACAAGTCACAAACATGTAACACTAGATAAAAAGCACATGGAAAATAATGCTCATGAAGACAATTCAGACTAAGTTGGGTTGTACAAGTTACTACTCATGAAACTCATTATTTAGGATTCTACAGTGATATAAAAGAAAAAAAAACAGGAAATTTCATCTTTATATTTACAACATGGAGAGCAATATTAATAGTGAAGGACTGTTTCCATAGCCTTCAATCACATTCCAGTAAGTGATGTAGAGAAACACCAACATTGGTTGCAATAAGTCTGCCTGATAAGAAACCGGTACTTACTGGCAGACTTGGCAAATAGTTTGGCTACACACACACACAGGCAAAGCTGCTGAAAATGTTAAGCAGTGAATATTTATAAAAAAACAATCTTACTTCATATAAAATAAACTGAGGCATACATCACAATTTTACTGACACTAAATTAATGCAAAAATCTGTAATTCATATAGCAGATTTATATTCTGTACATAAAAATTCCACCAACATAAGGAACTGCAATAACTGTTGAGTGTTGTATCCCTGGACTGTGGCAGAGTTGGTGAATGAGGAGGGGCTGGTGGGCATGGAGTTGGAGCTGTGTTAGGGAGAGGTGTGGGGGTGCTACTTGATGCAAAAGTTTCATCTGAGAAAGAACACAAATGAGACGAGGAGGATTGGGGCAAGGTGGTGAAGTGGAGCTTTCGAAGAACCTCCGTTGTCACCCTCTTGTCTCAGTTTGTACCCGCTGTCAAAAACATGAATCTTCCAGCCCATGTTGCGGTGGTTGTAGCACTAAAGAGAAAAATATACAAAAAAATATAAAAAATTGATAGTAATAATTGCAGTTGCAATAGGAGTACTGTAGTATTAATAGTAGTAAACAAACATTCAACACCATGGAAGAATCCTAAGCAATGTCTTAAAAAATTTGCTTAAGAGTACAAAGAATTTTAGTTCCTAAAGTATGAGAACTAATGTGGTTTTTATCCAAGGTCAATTCATAATATGTTGTATGAAGTGAGTGAGTAGTATTATCATAAACCAAAATACATAATGACAGGTGGATTTACTTTACAAGACCTAGCTCAATAGATTTGTCAAAAGTTTTGTTTTGTTAATTGCACACAGCTAGCCCAAACACCTTTCACTTATGGGTGAAAGGCTTTTTCACCCATAAGGTTATAGCCCCTTGGAACTGCCTTCCCACTGAAGATATAAATGCCAAGACATTGCTGTATTTCAATTTAAAATCTTCAATTCAAATCTTCAAAATCTCTGTATGTGTACTTCAATTCAAAGATGAAAAAAAAACAGGAAGAATAGTGGGGAAAGGTGATGACATTTAACAAGCCCCGTTATGGCCACAAGAGAGAGGTGTGGTCCCTCAACTAAATTTATGTAAATAGTATATCTATGCATGAAGCACTAGTTTAATACATCCATGTCATGATGATATTTCTGTACTTTTAGCTGATTTGATTAACTAAGGTTAATATATGAACATTTAACTCTTCATTGAACATTTCCTAGATACTTCCTATGCTGTCTATTATTCCCTAAACATTTGTTATTCATCCTATTTGCTTTTTCTTCTTTGCAAATTGTCTCTCTGTCTCCCATAAAGCCTTTTGTTAATTGATCAGCTGACATGCATTAAAATTTCAAATTATTTTAAATCTCAAACCTATTCCAACCTTTCCCAGATAATAGATGAATAGCTTTCCATTACCTGGTAGTAAACAAGGTCCGGAGTGTCCTCCTCAACAGTCCATACTAATAAGCCTGGCGAATCTCCATCACATTTCTTGTACAGTGTGTCCTTATACTCATCAATTGATAGACTGTCTTCCCACGCATCCTTGGCAGTATGCTGCCACTCGCATAGATCTCCAGCTGGAAGAGCATTTTGACAACTGAATTTGGGTGCAATAAAATAAACCAGAGAAAAAATGTTATGATGTTAAATTCCAAGTCCTTATTAATTAAGCTCTAAAAGGCAAATTTATTATGGAGTTACTCTCCCATGATGAGCAACATTTAGCTTAAATTTTATTTCAGAGTTATCTTTCAGATTAATAGTTTTTACTTTATAATTACAGGAGGAAGGAGGGAGGGTGGCCTTGATAGGTACAAGTGTGTTGTGGTTTATGAAGTATTCCCTCTTGTTTTTATGACAGGTTATTCATTTGTTTTTTAAAGCTGAATGCAGTTCAGTATCCAATAGCTTCAGTACTTACACTGTTCCAGGGGTTTATTTCCGACTAGAAAATCCCTTTTCTCAAAGAGTAATACAGAATGGTACCTGAAGAAGCCATAATAGCACAGGAAAAGCTTCTTTTATTTAGATATTTTTTCAGAATGTCCAAGAAAATAAAGTGTTGCAGCCAAAAACCTCTCTTGGTTGCATTCTACAATGACTTAAAAAAAAATTCCCTGCCTGCTGCTGTAGCCCAACATACCTGCAGTGGGTTCTGGCGTGCCCATCTTTGAATACGAGACACCAGCAAAAATTCGCTCTCGAGTTTGTTCCTCAGCCGTTTTCTGTTGAAAGCCGCCTTCCGGGGAGGAAGTGATGTACAGTGGATGGTACCTAAGATTAATATACAATTATAATAAACCATGACATTGCCCATACAGTTATGTAATTACTTTACACTATCATTACAATTTCTCATTCTTTAAATCAGGAAACGTGTTTGGCTTATCAAAGTCCTTATAGGGTAAAGACTAATCTTTTCCAGCATGTTCCCCCCTCCCCAGCAGTTGCCTAATTCTGAAGTATCTATTTACTACTAAGTGAACAGAGACATTAGGTGAAAAGTAAATGACCAAATGTCCATGTTCTGCATGGAAAGTGAACCCAGGACCTTTCGGTTGTAAACTGACCAACATCATAATAGTCAAGTGAAAAGTTTTAATTTACAAACTTCAATACCATTTAATTTCACAAAACTTCATACAACAACATTTAATACCACAATGTTATGCCCAAAACACTGTTATATGATGAGATCAAACCCCAAATACTGTACCTGGACTTGCCAGACACTTGCACTACTGACTGAATCATGAGGGCAATCTCATCATGGTTCAGTTGGAAGTGTTTGCACCTAGGGAGTCCAGGAATGTGTGTAAGATCTCTCTGTATAGCCTCAATATTTCTCAGTAATAATAATAATCATTCTATTTATAAAAATTGAAGAATCTGATTAGAATGATTTTAAAGTGGGTGTTCGTATTTTTTTGTGATGCTACTAATTGCATGCATGGTAAGCAATGTTTATGAAAAGTACTTATAAAAGTTAGCTGAAAAGGGGTCAAAACTGAAACATTTGATATGGTACCATTTATTATTTTTACAAATATGGATACACTAACCAATTTACTGCTAACTTGTTGTCACACAAACATTTAATGAAAATATATTATTGTACATAAAATCTGTGTTAGTAAATGATGTAGGGTCAAATTAATCTTGACCTCAAAAAGTTACAAGTTTTCATTGCTAGGTGATAACTGAAATTTGAGAAAAAGCTAACAAATTTGCTACTAAGAATGTAATAGTGTTTATTTATATACAAGAAGGCCCAATAGGCTGTGAAAGTACATACGTTAGTAAGTGGTGCATTCTTGCCAAGCCATTAATATGCATAATGGTAGTTATGGTTAATATGGTTATGATCTCCAGTAAAGGATATCATCACATTTATGGACTGGGGTTACTCTCGCTTTTTTTTAGAATATCCGGAAAGGTTTGGAGTTCAAGTGATTTGTTGTAGAGCAATGCAATGGCTGGAGCTAGAAATCTGGAGGCTTTCTTGTAAATTAGAGGTGATTTGATCGATTTGATTATGGGTCCCAGTAGTACAGTCGGGTTCATTCTTTACAGACAATCAAGAATTCTGGGTTCGAATCCCAGGCTGCACAGAAATGGTTGGGCGCATTTCCTTTTACCTCATGGACCTGTCCCCCTAGCAGTAAATAGACACCCAGGAGTAAGTTAGCTTGTGGGGTTGCATCCTTGATAGAGTCAGTAATTCATCCCTCGGGGAGAGGGGGGGGTGCCTCGGTATAAGCCTAACATGTATTTTATTTATAACCTGGCTTTCTGTCCCCCCCTGACACAATGTATAGTATTATTATTAATTATTATTATAATGTTACTCCATGAATGCTTACCTGGCATTATTCGTGTGATCATTGCCACCACTGACAGAGAAATAGTAAGTCTGACCACGTTTAACATATATCTCTGGGATGAGCTTATCATTAATCCACCAAGCAATTCCCCAGTACGTTCTGTCTGTAATGGCATAATCACTCATTAGCATGGACTATTGTACATGAGAAAATTAATAAAGTAAGCTGGCATAGCTACTTAAAAGGTTAGCATGTCTTTTTGTTTTCCAATACTTTTTGACATTTCCTTAAGGTATCTTCTGTGCATTTTAAGAAAATACAGTTTTACATGGATATAATACAATTGAAAGATAATATTCAATACTGGCAACACTGCAGTTTTTATTTGGTTGGAAGAAAGACTGCTCATTACTTAAATCTCTGTGAAGAAACAATAATGTTTTAGATCATTTACCTGAATTTACCCAAGGGCCACTGACATTAGCAGCCTCGATGAGGACAGGAAGCTGGCAGCTTGTTGAAGGTCCTCCCCCATTTGTCTTGATAATCTTTTCCAATTGGATTTTGAAATTCAACAGTCTTGGCATTTATAACTTTGGCAGGTAGGCAGTTCCATGGGTTTATGACCTTGTGGGTGAAAAAGCATCTCCTGTTCTCGGTCCTACATTGTGGCTTGCCGAGCTTGAAACTCTTGCTCCTTGTTTGTTACATTTGACTTTTTGAAGAAATTGTTAGGATCAACATCCTCCAAATTGTTCAGTACAGATATTTTAAAAGTTTCAATGAGATCTGCACTGTCATGCCTGGTTTGCAGTGTTGTTAGCCTTGTGGCCCTCAACCATTCCTGATATGAGAAAAGACTTTTGCTCTGGAATGATTTTTGCTACCCAGTGCTGCACTTTCTCCAGAGTAGCTATGTCCATCTGAAGATGAGGTCTCTATGCTTGGATACAGTAATCCAAATGAGGGGTGCGCTGGAGATTTATACAGTTGAATCACTACCTTTATTTCCTTAAAGTCAAAGGTACACTTGATTATTCCAATGGTTTGGTTAGCTTTTCTTACTGCTGCTCCTACTGTTGTGCAACTTTCAGTGAGTGGTGGATCCCAACTCCAAGGTCCTTTTCTTCATAAATATGCTGCAGTGGAATGTTATTTATTTGGAAGTAGTGCATGCCCCACATGCAGGGTGTTGCATTTGTCAATATTATAAAGCATTTTCCAGTCTTCTGACCAATTGTGGAATTCATGTACAGGTAGATCTCTTTGTAGGGCTGCAATATTATTATTTCCCACTTTATTATATGTCTTTGTGTCATCTGCAAATTTGATGGTGTGGTTGTAATACTGTATTCTCATCTATGTCATTGACATAAATGACAAAATGGGTTGGCCCCAAAATGAACCCCTGTGGCACCCCTCTTACCACACTTCTCCAGTCAGATTCGGACCTATTTATTATGAGCCTTTGTTTTCTTTGTTTCAACCGTCGCTTTATTTATTCTAATATTCTACCATTTGTTCCATGAGCCTGTAATTTCCTTGCCAGCCTTTCATGTGGTACCTTATCAAAGGCTTTATCAAAATCCATGTACACTACATCCATCAGAAGTCACTTGTCTGAGTAGCTGGTTATCATTTCCAAAAACGTGAGCAGGTTTGTAAGGCAAGATCTATTTTTAACAAACCCATGTTGAGTCGATTTTACATGATTGTTCACTGAAAGATGGTGAATGATTCCCTCCCCTATGAACATTATATTGGCCATTCAAAATATACAAAATGAAAATGAGGGTTAGAGGAATTCTGGTTTCGATATACTGTATGTGTCCTTGAAAAGATACAAAGCTCAATTTCTAGATTAAATTGCAGTTAAACTAAGACAAGTTGGTGTTTGAAATTAAAATTGCTCATCACTGAAAGCAACTCTGACTTACGAGTGATGGCAGAATAACCACTATATCCTCCAGTTGGTCCAATGGTGGCAGTGAAATTGGTGATATTCTGGAGGATGATGGGAGACCAAGGCTGGTAATGCTGGGTTTCATGGCCAGAACCCACCAGCGATGTGCACGAGTTACCTTCTACTGAAGTGAAGTCTAAGATCACATTATCTGTGGAGAATTGAGGTTAATTTAACATTAATTATTGTTAATGCATTTATAAAGGTTTAATTGATTTAATATTTTTTAGTTAAGCAAAATATTAAAGAGATGACAATGTGCAACTTAAAACTAATCGGAGAGTCCAAGTTTAGTACTGACAACATTCATTATCAAAATATCCTGTAATAATACTTGTTATAAAGTTTTTAAATCCTAGTTCAAACTGCCAACTTCATGTTCCATTCCAGGCCACTTGTCATAGTAGCTCTCAGACAAATCCTGGCAAATAAACATTAAAACCTAAAGATACTCATTACTGAGAAACAAAACATTAGGACCCATGCTTCTTCACATTGTGGTACTAATGAAAATGCTCCTGTCTGCATATAACAAACGTCCAACTTCTCCTGGTTTATGCATTTCTCCCACCATATGCCTGCTCTACTTGAAAACTTGGTATCATTTAACTATGCATTTGCCAATAACCTACTTTCATTAAGTGTATTTCTTTTAATTTGTTCACCCATTCAACAAAACTCTTTTTCATGTTATTTTTGCATACATAATGCCATCAGTTAAAAGCTTTACTACAAACATACCGTAGTTCTATAAAGTACATTACAGTCAATTCTATTTGCTGATGACACAACCTTCATTTTCACCAGTCCTGACCCTCTTGCTCTTAATGTCAAAGTGAACACTGAACTAAATAAAGTCCATCTTTGGCTAACTGCCAACAAACTCACCCTTAACAGTGATGAAACTTTCTATATTTTGTTTGGTAGTAAATCCTCAAATCAAATTAATCTAAGAATAAACAATACCCAAATTAGTAACAAAGTAGATGGAAAATTCCTTGGTGTTCCCACTGACAACAAGCTGAATTTCCAGGGACACATTCTAAATATATAAAAAAAAGTTTCTAAAACTGTTGGCATTCTTTCTAAGATCAAATATTAAGTACCTTGCCCTGCCCTGGAAATGCTCTATTAATCTCTCATCTATCTTTATCTCAATTATGGTATTTATGCTTTGGGTTCTACTACACAAAATCATTTACTTCCTCTAATTATTCAATACAAAGCTGCTATTACAACAATATCTAACTCTGGCCCCAGACAGCACTCGGTACCCTTACTCAAATCTTTGAATATGTTGTGTCACTGCAAATCTTCTCATACGTACTCTATATAATTAAAACTCTGAACTGCATTGTCAATCCTGACCTTAGAAGCTTCCTAGAAGGTTGTAACTCATGGGCATCACACAAGAAACAAACACAGGTACCTGTTTGATATTCCAAGAGTGTGACTTAACCAAACTAGAAATGCTCTACAAATCAAGGGACCCAGAATGTGGAATGATCTCCCCAATCATGTCAAAGGCTGTACCTCTCTCAACCAGTTTAAGAGTAAAACCAAGTGCTACTTATTCTCAATTAGTATTAAGCTTTAATTTTAAGTGTTTCTTCCCCACACCTTGCCCGAAACACTGTGCGTATTAGTGGCTTTAGGTATTGTATGTACTAGCTCTATCTATAAATTCAACATTATGTTTGTAACTCATCTTCTGTGTACTGTATGTACTTTTACCTGAAAAAAAATTTTGATATTGATTTGATTTGATTTGAAAGTAGTTTTACTCACTCTTGGTAACAAATTCATCATGGTAGTTAGCCTCCTTACGGGTGTTGAGTTGACCGATGGCAGCAATGACTGTGATGGGATCTGCATAACGAGAGATGGGCATATCCAGCTGGTCATTGGTTTCATATGGACGACTGAATGTAATGGAGGTCACACCATTCCGACGTTCACCGCCAATTACTGATGCATCGTTCCGTCCATTCACGCGTTCATCAGGACATACTCCATATGTTCCATCACACTGAGGAAATTAAAATTAGTGTACAGCTATTTTTTAACAAGTTTTTGTAATTTGAATTCAGTTTGAAGGGAATTTGTCAAAATGCAGTGAACAAATCTTTCAATCTGTAGGCTGTCATCCATCACAAAAGAAATGTTTGAAATGCTCAAAACGTTCTTGGTATTAGTGACTTTATGAATTATACTATTTTACCTTCAGATTTCCCACTGTTCATGTACCTCATGTATGTATTTTTGCATAAATATATGATTATTATATCCAGTTACACTGTAAATTTTTATTTAAAATTACCTAATCTTCAGAACAAACCGAGCAGAAAATGACTCGAGCAATATGTTTGTGTTAAATCCAAATCATCCCAATAAAGATGTTAAAGACCACATCCTTATGCAAGATTTTGCTAGAAATTACCTTCTTAAAATTATGTTTGATTAAGGATCTGCCCAAAATGTCATGCGTGCTTTTGGCTTTACAAGAATGTAAAACTTCAAGTCTCTGTACTCTCATGAACCCAAAGTACCTTCTTGTATATAAATATATAAATAAATAAACAAACTACTGTATTCTATTAGCTTGGCTCCGACTTTTTCCATTTGATTACTTACTTGCCTACTGATCATATGAATTTGTGCTTGTTATCTTCATTTAAATCATATATTTACACATGATCTCGCCTATTTTTCCCGACTTCCAGAATCTCATCCAATTTTACCTCTGTTGTTCAAACTCAAATGTGAGTAAACGTGCTGGTGTGCTCACATGCACACACGTGCACTTACATGTAATCTTTAAACTTTAACTTCTCGACCAACTTTCGCACCTGTGACTTTGCCGTGACGCTGTAGTCTACTGCATGGAAGGAGCCATCGTCCTTGTCATAGTAGGCTACAACAATGTCACTGTTGAGCATCTCTGGCCTGTTGGATATTGAAACATTGAAGAAATTAATTACAGAGTTTGATTTTTGATTCGTAAGTTATAAGTATGTAAGATACAAATACTGAAACCTGCTGCACAAGGCCAAATGACCCATATGAGGGAGTATCTGATTCTATCCAACCAAACTCATTTATACATATGTATGTACCAACTTAAAAATATTGTGTTCAGATTTAATATGATGCTGGTACTGAGGCTGTACACAGTGACTAGTTATAAGCAATTACATTATACAGGCAAGCAAAGTTCACAACTATTTAGCAGTGATAAAGGTACACTATGATATATGTACAAATATAAATGTATCATTAATTGCATTTTTGGGCATATATTGAATCCAAACATATGCAACTATTGTGTACAATATATACAAAAATAATTTTCCTGTTTATCCCAAGGGACCTATATAGTAGAAGTGATAAATTTATGTATTAACAGCCTGAAAGCTATGATTTAAATTGTACATTTCACATCAGGAACTTTATCTAAATTTTATCAACTTTGAATTTATATTCCTTTCAAATTTTGAGTTGCCATTTTTAAACATCTAATGTGTGACTTCAGCACCATTAGGTGTGTCCAGTAACTGAATGGGTGATGGCAGACAACCACACTTTTAGCTATTGAATCTCTACAAGCCAAGTGCTTCCTGCTCGCTACATCACACACAAACCACTCACTTGCCACTGGTCGGGGAGATACCGAAGGCAATGTACTGATCTTCTGCCATCTTTGCTGAGAGTCGAATGTGCACTTCTTCCTCCTTGCCCCGCCACTCCACCTGCAGGTCGTCGCTCAGTTGTCGGCAGTTGTCGAACTCGGGAGTGATGTGCACCTGGCGACCAAGTAGGTGGTGCGAAGAGAATGTATTATTAGAGAGCATGCCATGAGCCACATGATGAAAGGGTAATATGATATACTTGTAATGGTGTACCATGGCTCATAGATTTTGGGTATGGGCAGATAGGTGGCATGTTTCGTGTACTGTGTTTCTTGTACACGTGTCTTGTTGTGAGCATATCATGTGAGAGGGAATGAGGGAAGGTTCCTTGTCACTTTCACCCTATATTTTTATTTTGAAAGTGACTATTGAATTTACCCAGAGTCTTCATGGCTTAGTGACTTCTTTTGATAATGATTTACTTATTGAGTTTTCCTTTACACACTCTCCTAGCCCATCCCACTTTTGCGACACTTACCCCTTGTAGTAGTTCTTTCTGATGTGTGTGTGTGGTTTATTTGTTAAATTGTTTCACTGCGCTTAAGTTCTATGGGTTGGGATAAAAACCTACGCTTGTGTATTTGTGAATTTAATGTAAAGGTTTACACCAAGACTTTCTCACTCTCCCAAGTGCTTTATGAAGGTTCGAGTATATAGTGAGGACGATTCTTACTTTTCACCGGCTAATACAGTTGCTATCCATGACTCGGTTCTCATCCTTCTTGATCTCCTGGCCATGCACTCATCTCCTGTGCCAGGTAAGCACGACGGGCTTACCATAGCCCGTGGGGCTTGGAACTTTTTGTTCCGAGCAGCTGAATCTAAAACCAAACATCCTGACCATGTCACCTCTTGCCGACTCCCAATGGACATGCGGGAATGTCTTCTTTGGAATTATGGTCAGTTGTCCATTCTGTCATCCTGATATTACGTGAAATGGAGTTGTTATTAAGAAAAAGTATCCACCTGGATGCTGTTGTCTCGCTATATTCTAATATTTTAGAAAATCCACGAGTCTTCTAATAAGTCTCTCCAGTATTATGTATGGTATACAAGTTCATGATAGCAGCAATTCAGTGACACTCCTTTCTTGTGTACATGTATCACATTAACCATTGCTCATACCACTGGTGCTTCAGTCTCTTTTAGCCTGTTGTTTAAGAATTCAATAAGAAGTCATTCAATGGGACTGCTGCCTCAATCAGTATTTATGCAGATTATATCTGACCCAATAACGTTTCACACATACAACTTGTCCATCCATTTTTCTGCCCGAAATCGCATATTTCGTGTATCCATTCGTTGGACATGGACTCCTCCTCCAATCTCACACAGGGTTCTAGTTTAAGGTTAAAAACTTTTGGTATCTTATTTCATACTTCTTACACCTCTGCCATTTCCTGTATGTCCCACTGTTACATAATCCGATTGTCTGTTCATTAACAATAGTGGACCCCATTACTCTCTTGGTAGTATCGTTGGGTACGTTAAGCGGGCGGGAAGGCAGGCAGCAGTGTTTCCTGCCTCTATGTGCTTCTTTAGTTCATTCCATCCCCCCTCCACATACGTGTGTGTGTACTCACCTATTTGTGCTTGCGGGGGTTGAGCTCTGGGTCTTTGGTCCCGCCTCTCAACTGTCAATCAACTGGTGTACAGATTCCTGAGCCTACTGGGCTCTATCATATCTACATTTGAAACTGTGTATGGAGTCAGTCTCCACCACATCACTTCCTAGTGCATTCCATTTATTAACTACTCTGACACTGAATACTCTGTGTGTGTGTGTGTGTGTGTGTGTGTGTGTGTGTATGTGTGTGTGTGTGTGTGTGTGTGTGTGTGTGTGTGTGTGTGTGTGTATGTGTGTGTGTGTGTGTGTGTGTGTGTGTGTGTGTGTGTGTGTGTGTGTGTGTGTGTGTGTGTGTGTGTGTGTGTGTGTGTGTGTGTGTGTGTGTATGTGTGTGTGTGTGTGTGTGTATGTGTGTATGTATGTATGTATACGTGTGTATGTGTGTGTTCACACATTTATATGCATTAAAATTTTCAGCAAAATTACTGGGACCCTGTCCCAAACGGCCAAGTGTAAAAGAAGAAAATACAAGAGTCTCCCCTGTGTGTGTATTAAATGAGAATTCTGCAGAATAAACTATTTTATACAGATTCCTACACTTCAAGACCAAAATACACCTTTGTGGCATACACAAGGAGCAAGCTTTGGTAAGCAACATACTCTACAAATGTTATCCCCAGCCATGTTGAACAGAAAACAAGGGTCTTGTTAATATGACATACAAAGAACACGTTAATAGGCATTAAAGAAATGGGAGTTTAACGCACATAGAAAGCGGAGAGAACCAGCTCCTCTTAGTATTGCTTAGTATTGCCAATAAATGTTATGATTTTAATTGAAATTAATGCAGTTGCTATCGAGGACACCTGAAGAAGTTCGATTGAAATGAGTGGAAAACAATGAAGGTTATTAGATAAGAGAAGGGTTAACTTGCCATGGATTTCGAAGTACTGAAACAGGCAAGAGTGTTATTGAGACACTAGAAGAAAATTATGGTTTGGAAATAAAAATAGAGTTTACAAGGAAAGGGACGAGTATTGGGAGAGACGTAGGCCCCAGGAAGTGCCGCTTGTGTAGAGGCTGGTAGGAGAGAATGGCTTCAAGTTAAAAATGGAAGTGGTGTGAGAGGGAGCTCCTTACTGTACCATGGAACTGTTGTTATTAGAGAAGTCTGGCAAGAACAGGCTCAAGAATACAGCAGATAAATATACCCTAAACACACACACAAACCAAGTGTTAGAATATATATTATATATATTTATAATTATAATATATTATATATATATATATATATATATATATATATATATATATATATATATATATATATATATATATATATATCTCTATTAGATTAGTTATTACACTGTCTTCTAAATTTGATAGTGTGGTGCTGTCTTGGTGGTAACAAATACAAAGACATTCACTAACAATTCAGTAAGGACATTAAATAACGAGGTAAAAATACCAAAGCAAGATATATAATTAATGTATTAAAGTTTCTTAAAAAAAAGTTTAGGAATGCGGGTAAGCATACTACTACTAAGAACTTTAAAAAAAGTATAAATTTAATTAGTAGTAGTTATATTTGGGAGAGGGAGGGAGAGAGGGAGAGAGGGAGAGAGAGAGAGAGAGAGAGAGAGAGAGAGAGAGAGAGAGAGAGAGAGAGAGAGAGAGAGAGAGAGAGAGTGTGTGTTAGTATTTTGAGCACAGAGATAAGATACAAGATATAATTTACGTAGAACCTACGGAGGACGATATTTCACCTTATTTAAGTGTTATTGATAAAATAATACACTCGAACCTAGAGAGAGAGAGAGAGACTACACTTAGCTCTAGACTAGCTGGAGAAGAAAATCCATCCTAGGATTTTATGAATGACAAATATCCAACCCAGGAGATCCTGAAACATGGATAAAATCCAAGGGTTTGATGAAGGAAGCCGGGGTGAATATCCATTCTAAGTAATAGCTAAGAAAGTTTAGTTAGAATTTAAATAATATCCTCCATAGAATATGCATAAGATAGAAGATAAGATCCATTAAACAGATATTAATGGAGTCTTGATGTGTATGTGGGTGCGTGTTCAGAGAAAAATGTAAGTGGAATCGTAATGTTCCCAATAGTAACAGTGAAAGTCATTTATGTATCGAGAGAAAGCTCAAATACTGAACGACTGTAGCTCACACAGAAGGAATATGACAAGGGAAAGGAACTGTTCGAACCACTTAGCCTATCAGGCATCGAATGCCATCCCGTCCTCACCAATAAAGGCCAAATGCTCGTTAATCAGCCGCCAAATTACCTGTTTATGAATGCAAAAAACGTTTACAGGCAACTCACAACTGATGACGTTCGATCATTTCTCGAACAGTGGTTCGCTGATGACCTCTGTTCGAACCGCAACTCTGTAAATGCTTCACCCACGGGCTATAATCGCAACAGAACCTAAACATCTAAGACTGGGAATTGACATGGTCTATACCTAAAGGATTTACATCACAATCGACTTGAGAATGGTCCAGGACGGACCGAAACGTCGTCGTCCCTTCACCTTCTAGTATGTGGTCTGGTCAACTTACTTTAGCCCCGTTGTGACTCATCGCCTGCACATGTACATCGTCGTTGAAAATCCTTGAATTTAATCCTAAAAATAACTGTTTACTTCTGTAAACACTCATTTTATCCTAGTAACGATATTTAAATCATAAACATCGTCTTGACACGTATTTGGTCTTAGTACAAGTTGAAAACATGTCCATGCCCAATAAACTACAAGAATAACAATACCATCCATAGAAACAGTTTTATAATATACAGGAGAGAAATCAAGTTTTAGATGTTTGTCAAGTTTACAAGGAAGTGTTTTATATTTTGTACAAAAGGCGGCCAAGAGTTGAGGAAACGCGGCCAAGAGTCGGGAAAACGCGGCCAAGAGTTGAGGAAACGCGGCCAAGAGTCGGGAAAACGCGGCCAAGAGTTGAGGAAACGCGGCCAAGAGTCGGAAAAACGCGGCCAAGAGTTGAGGAAACGCGGCCAAGAGTTGAGGAAACGCGGCCAAGAGTTGAGGAAACGCGGCCAAGAGTTGGGGAAACGCGGCCAAGAGTTGAGGAAACGCGGCCTAGAGTTGAGGAAACGCGGCCTAGAGTTGAGGAAACGCGGCCAAGAGTTGAGGAAACGCGGCCTAGAGTTGAGGAAACGCGGCCAAGAGTTGAGGAAACGCGGCCAAGAGTTGAGGAAACGCGGCCTAGAGTCGTAGAAACGCGGCCAAGAGTTGGGGAAACGCGGCCTAGAGTCGTAGAAACGCGGCCAAGACTTGTGGAACACTGCTGAGGTTGGAACACACACATGTTGTGTCTAAAACAAAAATTAAGCAAAAGTAAGCCAAGCAAAGAAGTAAGAATTACTTGCTAACGATAACAAAGTGGAAATATTGGGTACTACAAAAGCAACAAAATGGTAAATGAATAAGACACTACAACATCAAAGTTAATCAGAAATATATATTATATACAAAGATAAAACAAATGCTTTTGTTGCATCTACAGAAACTTCAATGCAATTTGAGCTAAAATTGTACAAAATTGGATATTCTGCCCTGATGTAAAACACTGAATTAAACAATAAAGACTAGCTGCTCTCAGTAGGGTTCACCTGCTTCGGGTAAAGATTGACACACACACACATACATGTTATTTTATCAGTGGCTGAGCCTTCCAAAATGATGTTAGTCATGGGGTTGAATATCTATTTTGTCTATCTTGAATATCTACAATGTTCCCAAATTTGCTTTCAAATTGTTGAAAGTACCTTTAATCACTGAAATGTATACCTTTTTAACACTGGTGAACAACTCTAAATATATACATCTATATGTGTAAATTTGTATATTATATACATACAGCTATTTTTGTAATATATATATATATATATATATATATATATATATATATATATATATATATATATATATATATATATATATAATGTACCTAATTGCCAGAGGTGAATACTATGGCGAATTTAATTAATATTATATATATATATATATATATATATATATATATATATATATATATAGAAAATTTTAACATGATTAATAGAAATCTTTAATGTATCGAACAAGATTTTTCAATTTGAACCAAAAATTGTAACCTAAAACTATTATTAATGGTTAGTTATTCTTCAAATGATTGTTAGGCAAAGTGGGCCTTGCATGCTAAGCCTGGTAGTGCGGATCTGTCTATTAGGTACATCATATATCATACACGTGTTACAATTTAAATATTTGCAACTAAAAACGACAAATTGTCACAAGTTAGAAGGCAATACCTAGAAGCTAGTGCCGGCCAGCCACCACTTACCCTGCGGCTGGTGGGTGCTTGATGAGGTGTAGCTGGGAGTGCGACGACTGACCCAAGGACTGGTTCATTACACTGGTGGGGTTAGTTGCCCTCAGGGAGCTCATACCAGGTGACCAGGACTAGCGGAGGATAGGCTACAGGCGAGGCTTAGTGGAGAGCAAGGGATGGAGGAGAGGGGACAGGGGGGGGGGCCAAAAAGTAAACTAGCTGGTAGTAAAGAGAACTCAGGCTGTAAACCAATATAGGAAAGAATGGATGAAGGTTCCAGTAACCAAAACGGAAGGAGAGAAGTGTTGAGACCAATACCAGGAGGCAGTGTGTGTACGGGAGCAGATCTTGACGACTTAGAGAAGGGTTAAGTTGGGAGATGTGGTCGTCCATTAGTAGGGATCAGCTGGCACGTTCTAGGTGGTAAATTAAGTTTAAGCAGTTAACTTAAAAACAAAAATACAAATTTCCTATTGGATGAAAAATTAAAACATTTAAAAGCTCTATCGAGTGATTCATGCCAGGAAAAAATAAATCAGGAATAAGAAATTATTAAAATAAGCCATACTCTATGTAGAATGAAAACCAAACTAAAAAATGCATTAAGGAAAGCTGAACAACTACACATGCTCAAGAATGGAAGGGGAGTAATAACGCTTTGACATGGGGGGGGGGGGTCTTAAACATGCTTGGGCTGGAGAAAGTCACCTTTAGGTTAGGACAAGTCTGTCTAGTTAATTTTGAATGGAGTAATTAAAGTACATAATTAAAATTAGGGACGAGGGAAAGGAATGTGGGTCAACTGAGGTAAGGGTATGGGTAAGGGGTAAAGGGAAATCGGGAAAGCACAGGGAAAGAGAACTATAGGAATGTGAAACACGTCTTTCAAGACGTGGGTAATGTTGAAGTAGCAGTTGTTTACAGAAGAGAAGAAGACATTTGGTTGTCCCTTTTACACAGTGTTTGGAAAATGCTGAATGATTTACGGTTTCGCATATCTCACGGGATGGCGATATAATGATACAAAAACACCACAACAGTATGAAAAAATCCTATACAATATGATGTAGTACATTATCAATTGATAACTAGTGTCATTATATATATATATATATATATATATATATATATATATATATATATATATATATATATATATATATATAAAACCTAAAACTTATTTATTTATTTGATGAAGTGAAATCTAATTAAGCCCTGATAACAAAAAATCCACACATTATATATACAAGTTATTTCATATGTACCATCAACAGTTCTACGTCACACATTGGAAGCTGGAATTGTGTTACATTAAATGACGCTAACTTTGATACATATCTACGGTACGAATCTCCAGTTACTTGTGCACAAAGAGGACGAGAAACCTCGCACATGCTGTGTCAAAGTTACTGTGTATTTGTGCAGTTCCACCCAGGGTAAGTCTGAGTGAGGTGGTAGTCCGAGGCGCGGTGCCTTGGATTATTCTACGTTAAGAAGGAAAGATGGTCTTTCAGCTCCTAACATACCATCAACCAGCAGTGGTTACGAGAAGAGTATTGATAAGTCAAGCCTGGCCACGGGCCGGGTTTGGGGAGTAGAACTCTTAGAACCCACTCCAGGTATACTCCAGGTATATTCAAAGGTGACAGGACTTTTTAAGTCACTGCGTTTTAACTCCTTACTGGTAGGTCTAAGTTAACAAAATAAGATTATCCTGGTTAAGACGAGTGAGCCGTTTGTTAGTGATTGATCTATCTTCCAGCTCTCCGATTTTCAGTCAAAAATATTATAGGCAGTTTCTGCCCTTGCCAATTATAATTATCTTCAAATATTTCAGGTTCGATTACATCGAACCAAAAAATGTAATTGTTAAATGTATTATTATACTTTTGTGGTTTTTGTCATCGGGTTTTGTTTAACGTCAAAGGTTTTAGTGTGATGGTACCGAGCTCCTGAGCTGTGATCTCTCATCAGGCGAGATTGTTCTGACCATCAGAGTCCTGTCCTCTCGTCACTACAGTGTTCCTTGAGGAAAGAGTCTGTCAGATGGCACCAATATTTACTTTCTAAGTAGACATTAATAATAAGCAACTTTCGTCCATTACCGAATATTTTTTTCCCCATAACTAAACTTATTTATTGAATTTGGTCCCATGACAAATAGTTATGGTGTCGGTTCCAAAGTTTCTTGTCATGGGATCAGACGCAGTACTTGACCAAGAATCATTCAAAGTTTAATCTCGTCTAGATGTATAGTAAAGGCACAAAACTTATGAATAAATGAGATATTCAATTATTAAACCTACGCTAATCGCTTCATAGTAACTCAGATGCACTCTTGAAAAACCCATTGCATTTTCCTGTGCAATGTACATCACAAAGTAAATTTTTTTTGTCAGACCTACAACCAGTGGGGAGGGAGAGGAGGTTCTCCTATCGCAGCTTAAAATCGTTTACTTATAAAGTGACTTTGGCTTTAGACTGGTGTGTGTTGAGGTCCTAATTTTTAAATAATTGAAGTGGGGATAAATAGCGAGAACGTATGAGAGAGAGAGAGAGAGAGAGAGAGAGAGAGAGAGAGAGAGAGAGAGAGAGAGAGAGAGAGAGAGAGAGAGAGAGAGAGAGAGAGAGAGAGAAGATAGAGAGAAACTAGTAAGCTAAGAGATAAAAAAAGTTCAAGAATGATAAATAAAGAACATGGGAGGAGGGAAATAAAGTAAGGCTGGTTGACGGGGTTAGAGAGAGCCTGCGACTGGCGTAGACCCGAGGACGAGGGGGACGAGGAGCACCAGGGTGAGGGGCAGGACGAGGAGCAGATGACTGGACGGGGAGAGGAAGGAAGCACCACCCTTGTTGCTATGACCAGACCCGGTGTTAGAGCCTGCCTGCGAATCAGAACCAGAGTCAATGTCAGTCCGAGAACCAGCAGCTTGGTGGCGGGTTTCATGGTCATATATCTCATCCTCTCTATGTTTATGAGGCGGCTGGCGTTCGAAGTTGGTGGTGGTGATGGTGGTAGTGGTGGTAGCCTCGGGTAGTTTGGAGTCTACCGTCTGGTACGTATCCTTCTCATCCTCAGAATACTGGACGCCCAAATCCTCATCAAGCTGGTAGTTGGTAACCAAGGATATGAGGAACCAGCAACCAGCACACAGTAAGAAACTTAAGCCTACACAAATGCTATATTTTTATTTACTTTTGTTTTTGTTTAGCATTACTCCAACAAATGTGGCTGGAAGATTATCCTGAAAACATGCAGCGTGCAGACACTGACAACACAAGGTTTAGCAACAGACTTTCTCCAACTCAAACAAATAACACAGGTGAGCAAAAACATAAAGCAAATAAAAATATGTTTAATAATAATAATAATAATAATAATACCAATAGTAACAAATAAACAAACAAGGAAGGGGTTGGGCACATGCGCAGTGGACAGTGTGTGGGGAGAGAACTTACTTGTCCCGGCTCGCCCATGTACCACCAGTAGGGCTGCGAAGAAAGAATCCACGTCAGACGCTGTGTGTGTGTCCGCTTCTCTCCGCCTCGCTCCCGGGGACTTGTGGTGGAGCTGGCAGCAGTGCTTGACCCGACACACACTCGCACACACACTCACACACACGCATACAGCTTTCCCCTTGTTCTAAACCTCTCCCTCTTACGTGGAATGCAACGTTTCGTTGATAAATACATGTATCTTGACGTGATAAATACATGTATGTGGCTGAGAACTCTCATTTGATATGACAACGTCTGGAGGTGTTAGTTGCTGGCACGCTGTTGCCAGTTGGTGTTAGGGGTCAAGCACCGTCTGCCGCAGTTCACCTTCTTACCAACGTTTGCTAAATACTTAACTTCTAACCTATTTAGTATGTCACAGATCCACTAAAACATATCTACATAAGGTAATCATATGAAGGATTATAATAACTTAGTCCAAAAACTCATCTGTAGGCCTAGACTGTCTACAGTGTTTAATGTAACTTAAACTTCTCTGGCTACAGAACCTGTCGGCGGGACGTGGGAGGTTCTCACTTGTGTGGAACAAGACGCATGCAGGTCAAGATATCATAAGCACGAGAAATAATAGAGACTGAAAAGAGGCTCCTGTTGGACTGCATGGGACTTTGACCACACACCACATATCAAGTGGGGACGATAGCCAGGGCTGCAACGCCTTTCCGCCCTAATTGGTCTACTCTAACACAATCACCTGTCAACTCCTCTGCTCAAAAAAAGGGATCTATGAAAAGAATATTATAATTTTTGGGGAGACATACCAAATTTTTATTAGAAGATTAATAAAATGATTCAAAATACTTAAACCGACTGCAATCAAGAACTTCATTAAGACATCGGGACACATTGGGAACAATGTCATTCTTTAGGAGTCCTAAATAATTTTAGGTCCAAGAACGTACTTCAATAACATCAACAGGTACATTAAAAGGAATACGCTTAGCATTACAATAAACTGTGGGAAAACAGAGTTAATTAAATTAATGCCATGACACGTTCACAGACTTACTATAATGTGTTCACTATGGTTAATTGATCTTGCTCTCGTAAAAATAAGCAACAATGATTACAATTTACTGGGGGGTTTTCCTGACGATCCTCGTCCAAAGTGCAAGTTCTGTCATCGATGGACCTCTACAGCATATAAAGTTATCTATTCTTATGCTGATTACTACACTCTGCACTGCTCACAAAGATTAGAGTCCACATGCAGCCCTTACAATCTCTCACTTTTTTAGACCCTAGTCTGTAATTAAGCGGGGTCCCACTTCCATCTCACTTTGGTGAGCTCTGAATTAGTTATTTCCAATAAAATCTAGCTCTTGTAAATTACATTAAAGGAAATATCGGTGATTACCAGCTGAATTTCACAAATTTTCGACGCTCAGTCCTCTGAAAATATATTGGATATCACAGACACATCTTACCTGTTCTGGAAATCTTGGATTTAAGGGATTCCGTTGAGTGCTTCAATAATATTAAGGATTCTTTTTAGCTTTAAAACATACTTCACTTCTCAGTTACTGAAGCTCTTCAAATGATTTATATATATCCGAGGTACCTTATCACCCCCCTTCTAAAATTCGCTATGCGAATCGGAAAAAGCTGTTGGTCTAGTCATCTCACTTTACTTCAAGTTTCAGCTTGAATCAACTCAACTTTACTTCAAGTTTCAGCTTGAATCAGCAGTTTGTTCCTAAATACGTATTCCACTTTCTCTTAAGACTAACTATTTCCTATCAATATTTTGCGCCGAAACTGGACATTGGGTGTCATTGTTTATTTAAGAAAAAAGGTTATGCGAGAAAGTGGCTTGTATTGTGTAGGCACATCGTGTTGGGTTGATGCGTGTGAAGCATTTACGAAATATAGTCTACATTTCTATATTTGATTAAAGTCTTTGATTTCCATGTCTTATTTGCTCCTGGATTAGAGGTCAAACTATTGACTATCAGGCTGAGTTTGCCTTTATAATGGGCACAGAATTAAATAGTCTTTTGTTTCTAAATTTCAGACAAAAAGCTATCGAGTTTTCACTTTTCTAGAGAGACTACTAGAAAACATACAATGATCGAGTTATATTTGACCTTCAAATGAAACCATAAACAGCCGATGATCGTGTTTCGATTTTTATTTAATCTGAAGATAAAGAGCTTTCATAAGTGGCGCTCAAGCAATATGTACTCATGAGCATGTAAACAAATGATACACTTTGGCTTGCCGCCAAAAGGAAACCCAAACTAAGAAAGTAACAATTTAATACTTCGGAAATCACGCCGATGTAAGCCGTTCGGCGATCAAGTTATGCCTTGTTGATTTGATTTTGATTTGATTGTTGCCGCCGGAGGCGGCTAGTTTATTGTGCACCCCATACTCATCCTGTGAGTGGTAGCGCAAAAAAGCATTACATAGCCTCACAAAAGCCTTGTTGATGATGACATTAAACCAACGACAACACCTTATCGAATCTACCTAAGCAGAAACAAGCTTATTAAACTGCTTATTCATTAGGGTCGCCAACCATGACGAGAAGTAGTGAAAGGCTCGAGTAACATTTACCTTGATGCGTGTCTGCCCCAGGGCAGGTGGGACCCAGAGTTCCTCCGGACGGGGAATCTGGACATGGCCGAAATTGTGCTTGTAGGTCACACACCAGACGCCCAGGTAGTCGATGTCGTACACTGTAAGATTCTCTGGCAACTGTAGCTCTATGTCCTCGCCCTCGTAGGCTCGGAGGACATCCAGACTGCAATGGTAAGTACGGTTTGTTTAGGAGTAAATTGATGGCGGATAGGGGGATGTTCGCTGTTCAAAGCTCTATGCTTGAAAGGATTAGCTGATGTGAAAATTATAACGAAAAATATATCTATATATACAAATTAAGCCAAAGATTGTAGCCGTTACATTATGTATATTATATTATACATAGTTTATTTATACACATTTATGAACATCTATACACACACACTCTCTTTATTCTTCAGGATTATCATTTCTACCTTCCTTCACCTGTCTCTTCTCTCACCTCGCCTCCCCTCCATTCCTGACTGTAGATCACTGTCAATCTCACTGGGGGATCTCTCTTATCTTCCATTCCTCTTACTATCTTTTTACTCTCCCCTTAGTCTACCTCCACCTCTCGGGAATGGCTTCGTGGCGAATAGCAAAGATTATTGCTTCAGAAATATATTTTCTCATATTTAGGTCCTATTTTTGGTAAAGGGGGAAACAAAACGGGGTTTTAGCAAGGACTTGAGAGCACTGATAAAGCGACTTTTAAAGCTCCATTCTCGTTTTATGCAAATTATTCGCACTCGATTCAGAGTGTTTTCAGACTTTTTACAAGTTACCTGCCAAGTTATCTTCGACAATAATGTCATCTCTCGTCCTTAGAATCACTCGCATATTCCTATATCCTGATCTACGTGTTTCTTCTCTTTACTCATTCAGATTCATCCTCCAATGCAATCCTAGCCTGCCATATTTGATTCTTCCCCTCCCCCCCTTAAACGCCACCACGACTCACCTTCCCATCTCATTGGGGATCTTCTGCCCCTTGGGGTCAGGATGGGTACCCTTGCCCACCCAGAAGTAGGCGTCTGGGCCCAGCCCATCGTAGTGAAGATTTGGGATATAGAAAGTACGAGCGTCCAGGATAGAGATGTTCCCAGATTTCAGGCCGTGCGCCAGGCGATGGAACTCTGGCAGCAACCTCTTCCTCGGAGGCTCTAGGTTCTTGGGTATGGTGACGTGACCGAAATCAACCTGAGGAAGAGACAAGGGGTTGCTGGGTGAATACGTGGGTGAGTCAGGCATGATGGTGAAACACACAAAACCCAGACCCGGGATCGAATATTACGAAAAATACACTCTTATAATCAGTTGGTGAAAGAATTATACAAAGCTCTCCATTTGTGAAAAAAATTATTAAGCAAATAATCCATGATAAGCAGTACTGGGATAAATTTGTTCATAAATAATGAATAATTCATTTTTCCAGAAACTTCAGTGACACCAGACGATCACTAAACACAAGTTACAGCTCGAGGGATTCTCGAGTACGTACCATTACAACTGTAAGCAATTGCGAATGAAACAACTGTATGAGTCAGACTGTAGAATATAAATACAGTAACCACGTTACTGTATTTCATTCTACTAACAACTCCCGCCCATCTCATTCCCCCCCCCCCTCACTCTATACGATCCTATACTCCTGTCTTGATATAGTACTTTTTAAGTATGTAGACCATCGAACGACTTTTTAATGCTGTAAGAATACCAGTGTTATGCACTCAACCCAATATACGTTCTTGTAAACAAACGAAACAAATAAATAAATAAATATATTGTTGTAATAGACAATTAGATAGTAGAATTTAGTACTATTCACTAAAGAGTCCGGAAAATGTAAAACAAAAGACAAACTTGAATATTCCTAGGCCTAGCATAGCATATTCTAGGCCTAGGAATAGGCCCTAGGCATCTTACGTAATATTTAATTAGAAGATTACGACAGTTTGCTGAAATCAACACTGGGAAAAGCCCTCAACCTTTCCCTCAGCGACTCACAGTGGAAACAGACCTACCTTCTATGTACGATACTAGGCCTCAACGTGAAATTAGGCCTTGAATGGTCAGGTTTTATCAGGAACATCAATACGAAGCTTTTTCCTGTTTGTGTAAATTCAATAGTTTAAAATTATACTTTCTAATTTTCTATTACGTCAATATATGTACAATGGTTTATATTGTTACTATAAGCTCTATATAAACAGGAGCTTCACTATACTAATCCATCTACCTCCCCCCCCCCTGCCAGCTCTACCAATCCTTCTACCCCCCTGCCAGCTCTACCAATCCTTCTATCCCCCTGCCAGCTCTACCAATCCTTCTATCCCCCTGCCAGCTCTACCAATCCTTTCCCCCTGCCAGCTCTACCAATCCTTCTACCCCCTTCCAGCTCTACCAATCCTTCTATCCCCCTGCCAGCTCTACCAATCCTTCTACCCCCCTGCCAGCTCTACCAATCATTCTACCCCCCCTGCCAGCCCTACCAATCACTGCCCATCCGTGTGGTCTCCCGACCTCCCCACGCCTCACTACGGTACCGCTCCATAAAGCTGAGACTAGCTCAGAAAATGGCGAATTGTAGTGTGGGTGAGAGAGAGAGGGGGCAGTGTTGGCGACTGAGCGAGGAGTCACGCCATTGTAGCCGGCTGGTGCTGGACGTGGGGGCGGGTGGGGGGGGGACGAAGCAGAGGGTGGGGGGAAATGGGGGTGGGTGGGGAGGAGTGGATAAAGTGGGGAGGAGAGCTTGGGGGGTGGATGTAGGAGGAGGGAGAGAGGTAGGAGAGGGTGAGAAGAGAGAGGGGAGTAGGAGTAAGAGAGGGTGGGGGTAGGAGGACTGGGTAGGGGGGAAGAGAGGGTAGGAGGACTGGGTAGGGGGTGAGAAGAAGGTAGAGAAGGATAGTAGGGGAGGCAAAAAGTAGGGGAAGGAGGAATTGAAAGTTCCTCGACAGGTTTCTCCCCTTTCCCACATTTTCCTCCTGGTCCTCATACCCTTTCCTTTCTACCATTCCACCCTCCACTATCCCGTATTGCCACTCCTCCTTCCCCCCTTCCACCGTAATTCCTCCAGAGCATCGGCATTTTATTCCTTCCCTCCTTAGAACCTCTTTTTTTTTACTCCTTTCTCCTCCCTTCCTCCTTTCCCACCCCTTCCCTTTTCCCTTCCGTTGTATCTTGTGGCGCCTCGGCTTCTGATGCGGCTCTTGCTGTTTCAATACAAGATTTTCGTTTGATCTTTGCCGGGAATTCTGGCTGCGAGAGTTGACAAGAACAGGAGACGGGAACGGAAAGAATAGGAGACGGGAACGGCAAGAACAGGAGACGGGAACGGCAAGAACAGGAGACGGGAACGACAAGAACAGGAGACGGGAACGGCAAAAACGGGTGGAGAAAACAGCGAGAAGAGAACGTACAGGTGAATGAAACTACAAAGAAAATGGCCGCGATAATAGTGAGGAAGTGAACGAGAGCGAGGCGCAGAGGAGTAATCACTGCTCGGAACCACCACAGTCACAGTTAATGGTCAATTAGAGCAGGAACAACAGCAGTAACGAAGCGAACGGTCCCCGCCCACCCCCATGGGCGTGTGCAAACAAACACGCCCACCCACGGGCGTGTGTAAGGAAAGGATATACATTTGTATAATATTTATTGAATAATATTTAGATTCTAACTTGAAGGAACTTAATTGCTTATAAATATATTATCGGTGTTGCGCATGCGCATATTGATATATCAATAGAAGCTTGTGACGCCTTTGTCTCATGGTTTAAATGGGAATAATTACTAGTAGCAGCGGCAACAAAGGTGTCTGGTGTAGCAATAGTTACAACGGAAGCAATGGTGCTGTTGTAAATGAGGTAACTAGTTATCTTATAGTTATAGTATTGGAATACCTGTAGTATAATAATTATGATTATAGTGTTTGCAGTATTAATATATATAATAATAAAAACAGTAATAGTAGAAGTAATATTAGCAGTAACTGATAATTAAACATATGAAAAATGTATAACAGAAAAATTATAAATATAATTGATATTAACTTAATAAATTATAGATAATAAAATCCAATTTGGTAAGGCTATTACCTATATAGTACTATATATATATATTATACCTATATACCTATATCTAGGTACCTATATTACCTATATATAAGCTATAAAAGATAGTGAAACATGGGTAAGAAGGACCGTAGACTTTATCGTCAACTTGGTCACTCTATAGTCCTCGTTTTCTAATCATTTTTTCTTAAAGAATTGGGACAGTAAGTAAGTATCTGAGTGGTCTTCGCTTTAGGTCGCTTATCAAGATGGCGGTAAAACAACGCTTAGACTCTACCAGTGTGTTATAAAGCCGTACTGCGATATGAAGGGGAAGTATTTCAAACAATTATTTGTATATGGTTATAGATTAAAAAGTTCTTCGCGATTGCTTAAAAAAAAATCTAAGTTCATTAGTTAATTGATTCTGTTCATTTATAGGTCGAAATAAACATTCTCTTCCTGGTAGTCTTCCTGGTAGGGTAGCCATCTTAAGCTAATTAATACGTTCAGAGGAAAATCTTGAATTTTAAGAAAAAATGTTGGTGTAATAACGTCTTAATGTTGCCAGCACGTTTTGTGCATTATAGTATTGTGAAGTGACAAAAAATGCAAGCCGTAAAGATGTTGAAAATCACGGGTGGCAATTCTTGCAGAGCCGAGGTGCACCCAGGCCTTCAGTGGCCGCCATCATGCACGCCGTCCGCCACCATTTATTACCGAAATCATGGAGTAATATGTCGACACAAGAAATTGCTGCCATGTTAGTGTGAGTAGTGGCTTGCCTGCGCCCGGTTCTCTGCTTAATTAGACCGCAGAGAGAGCAGCAGAGGAGAGAGAGTGTTGGATATATCGCCCACCCGCCAGCTCCTGCAGCCGCTGCTCGGCACCAGGGCGGCGCATAGGGGCGGCCACTTGTAGCATGACGTCATGCGGAAGTTGACCAATAGCGTTCGCGCTCCCCAGGTAGGTGCGCTGTATTGGCGCGCGTTTAGAGACTCCAGCCAATACGCGGCAAGACGCAGGGAAGGCCCCGCCCTATTTGGCAATCGACCAGTTGCAAAGGTGGCGGGGTTCACACAGTGCAATAACCATTGAAAATAAATTAACTAAAATAATCACAACGATTTAAACACTCGCACATTCACCACCAGAAAAAGATTTGATAAACATTTTAGGTATTCGAATGAACCTGTTCCACTTCCGACCGGGCCGGCTGGCAGCTGGCTGGCTGTGGAAATTTCCGCGGGTTGTCGTACGCGTCGACGAGTTTACCAAGCGAGCGGCAGCCATGGGCGGAGGGGAACCAACTTTTATTGATTTGCTCTTCTATTGTATTACGCACACACAAACTCAATAAAGGCGCAAATATCAAACGCAACAGATAAGATAACAAAATTCTACTCGTCAATTCTACTTCTCTGCCACCCACGACCTGAAAAATGACGACAATGATGATAATTCCTTAAGCTAACGAGAGACCAGTGTGATGGCAATACTCCACTGCACAAGCAATTATCAACATACGGTATATTCAGCTATTTCTGGAGATATACTCCACATACTCACAAAAATGCTCGGATGATAAATGATGCAACACGATATACCTATGCAATATATATAAAATACCCATACATACATATTAATAGGCATTAATGAACCAATTATCATAACACTTAGATATATCACATACCCAAATCCATCGGGTATACTATTAAAAAATATGCTACAATGTATATTCAGCCCCCTGTCGTATAATCATACATTATGATATATTCATATTATATATATGATATATATATAATTATGATATAATTTTACATAACCACTGTATCATACTATCAAATATGATATAATATGATATACTAATATGCTATGAACGAAGTAAATATGCGACATATCAATGCTCTAAACACTAAGAACAACCGTAAAACTAGAAGATAGACAAATTCGTTTAGAAATATATCTTTTCTTTAACTAGCAGAGTGCGAAGGCTATTGGGCTAATTTAAGAATATGTAGTTAACGACGATATGTGGAAACATACCAGAAACGTCGGAAACTGGACGTTGGGGTAGGATAGAGTGGCTGAAAGCAAGGGTAGACTGGATGAAAGAAGGGGGAGGCTGGATGGAAGCAGGGGGGAGGCTGGATGAAAGCAAGGATAGACTGGATGAAAGCAGGGATAGACTGGATGAAAGCAGGGGGGAGGCTGGATGAAAGCAGGGGGA